GGTGGGGATAAGAACAAGCCGCTACTCAGCTGTGGGTTGTTTATGTCAGGGACACTGCAGTCCATGCCAGGTGCCCGCAGTCTGCCCGAGTCTGTGGCCAGGAAGCTGACAACAGGCTGGGGCGTCAGATAATGTGGGCATTCATTCACTCCGGCAGCTCTGCATGGCACTCACTGGAGCAGAGGGGAGTGAATTCTGAACTAGGAGAGCAGACAGCCCAGGTGTGCAAGCGACCCTTTGCTACAAGTGCATTGCCACTGTCTTCAGGGGCTCCTCTGCAGGGGAGGGGGTCGGAGGCACTGTCAGCCTGGACAGTTGAGACATCAGTTCAGGGTAATATGTGAACTTTTGTTGCCTGCCTTGCCTAAGTCTGTAATAAGACTAGTTAAACATTACTAGGATTTCCAAATCCTCTTCATGACTTTTCTCCACATGGGCTGCCGGCTGAAAAAGAGTAGACAGACCCAATGCCCTCAAACTGGTTTGGATTCAGTTCAACCTTCCCCTGGTATAGAAGAGCTGGGTCAGTCATTCTCTTTGTGATATACTGATAAGAGTCCTGGATGGAAAATTCGAAGGCCATGGGTCTATTCCCAGTCTTGCCACTATGAATGTGACCTCGAGCAGTTATGTAACTGTTCTGGCCTTCTGTTTCCTCACCTCTAAAATGGACATAATGGCAACTATCCTACCTCCCTTCCAGGATGGCTGTAAAGATGAAATGAGAAAGTAATTATAAATCATGTCACACACAAGAGGCTAGTAACTCCTCAAAGCTAGAGGTTGGCAAACTTTTATGCAAAGGGCCAGGTAGTAAATATTTTAGGCTTTTTGCACTGCATCAGGCCTCTGTGGCATATTCCTGTATGTGTGTTTTACAACCCTTGAAAAATATAAAACTAATTCTCAGCTCATGGGTCACACAAAAACAGGCCATAGGCTGGATTTGACACACAAGTTATAGTTTGCCAGCCTCTTCTTAGAGCAAATCAGAAGTAAGGATTGGAGGTAGGGTCAGAATTGTGATAAGTCTAAATCTAAATAAACATTCAAAATATATAATATATGAATCATACATAAATAGAAAGGAATATACATATACATGTTTTTTTCTGACTTCTGGCCTGCACGTGTGAAACTATTTGAACCTCGGCCCACAGACCATCTTGTTCAAGTACTCCTAGACTATTCTGCCATTTACTGAGTTCTTTACTGCCTAGTCTAACCAAATGAAATAATCAATCATCCAGAAGTGGCTCAGGGTCTGTCTGGCATCCTTCTTGGGCAAAACAGCATCTATTCTGAATTGCTTAGTAGTCTTAAAACTAGAGACCAGCCATCAGGCTCAGCTTGGCTGGTTGTCACTCCTAAGAGGTTCACTGGGCCTTTATAGAAAGGAAACCAGAAGCAGACCATCTTGCCTACCTGGGTAGTACTGCCTGGGCATAGCTCCTGGTATGCCCACTTTCTCAGGGAGAATGGGACAAGGATCTTCATTTGGGGGCCACTACTGCCCATATAAAAACCAATTATATGTGTTACCAGTGTTACCAGTGACAATGAGCATTACGACAGTACTTTGTTGACTGTGTATTTAAACTGTTATTATTTCTCCCATAACACCCTAATGAGATAAGCTTGCATTATCACTGTCATTTGCAAACGGGAATTGCGATGACAGATATTTAAACAAAGTACTCAAGACACTAAAGTCAACTTTCCTGATGAGGTGGACCAATGTTTCCCATTTCTCATCTCTCCCATGAGACCTCTTTTCCCCTTTTGCATGTCTCTTTCTCCTTTTCCCAGCCTCACTCTTTATTTGAAGATATCAGAAGATCCACAGAATGAAGCCCTTAATGAGAACAGCTGATAACAAAGAATGTTTATTTCTTTCTCTTCCCTTCCAAAGGATTTCCAAAGAAAAATGGCAGGTCAGTAACACTTACCTAGAGCAATGAAAGCAGCTAGATTTCAGATATACCCATACAAGAGGAAGTGGCGACCTAATCCATCTTGCTTTTGTTGACAAGTGTGACAAGTGTGGAAATACGGTGAAATAAATGCAGCACTTTAGAATCAAGGTCTTAGCTAGCAACCACCTAGCATCTGCCTTTGACAGAAGGGAATATGGAGAGACAGAAAGGGTGTGAGCTTTTCAAGGAGATGGCTGATGTCCAGAGCTGAGGCTGGTGCTCCAGTCTCTGATTTTGAGTCCAGTCCATCTTCTATGATACCCTGCTGTTGCCCACGTTGTCAGTACCTTGCTGGTCACATCCCTACACAGCTGCACCTCAGGCCTGTCGTTTCATTCTTATAATGTCTAACAGTCTTGTCCCTATCCTGATGAGGATCTCTCTAATTTCTAATTCAGTCCAACATTTTCTCTCTGGACGATTATTACATTTTGTTAGCACATTAGGCTAAAAGCTCAAGGCTGCTGTTTCAGCACAGCACAGAGGAAAACTCTATCCCACAGAGGAAGGTGCCAGTCCTCCAACACAGACCACACCTCCACACATGGCCCGAAGAGCTTAGGGATGCCTAGCCCTGTTTACAGGGGGGACAGAGCAGATGACTCATGGTCTGTGGGTCTGTCTAGCATCCCTTCTGGGCAAAACTGAAAGTCCCCATCATGAAGACAGTGGTCACCTGCACTATTTTCACAGATGAAGGGAAATACTTTAGAAGCAAAACCTTAGCCAAGAGCAGTGCGTGGCAACCATTAGGCACACAATAAAGGTTGATTAAATGAATGAAAACTCCTCTACAAAGATTTTCGAGGTGAAGCATTTTAGAAGAGGAATTGGACATGCTAATGAACTTAAAAGATAAATGATTTCTCTCGGAACACTGTATAAACATCAATTTCTTAATAAAAGTGTGATAAAGAGAGAAGATAGATAGCGGTGTCTCCCACCCTGAAACGATGCGATCCAGAGATGAAAAATTCTTACCCTGCAATCTCGGTTTCATTAAACTACATGCATCCATCATTGTGTTCTATTTTACAACTTTGTTCTTTTATTAGAGTTTGGGTTGATTTATTCCTAACAGTGTACCAATGATATGTCTTCATCTCATCAACTTCTAGTGACCCCTGAGAAGCTTTTCCAATGACCATTAGTCCCAGTCATGGAGTGTGAGTTTTTCTTAGTTTTAGTTTGAACCCTGGAATTCTCTTGCCCTTAGACTTTGGGGAGAGGTGTGTGCTGCTGTTTTGAGGCTGTGGGCCTTGGTGTGGGGCCTCCCCCGCAGCCCAGACTATCAGATTCATGGGAGCCCTGGGGAGAATGCTGATTTTATTCTGCCTACTTTATAGTCTGTTACTCCTGCAGGGAGATCAGGAGAAATCAGATTTAGGAGAGAATGTAGTTTGTCACAACATCCATGACTCCCACTAACTTCAGAATACAAGCCAGTGGTATGACAGATAAGGTCCTCTGTGATTTGGTCTCAACCTCCCTTTACAATCCTCATCTTCCATCCCTCTCCTCCAGGTACCATCAGCCTCTATGAACAGCTTCTCCCTTCCCTGGTGTGCCAAGCTCTTCCTTAACCTTTGTGCCTTTGTCTGTGCCCAGAAGGCCCTTTGCCCTTTTTGTGACTTGGTGAAAGAATCATCCTTCAAGATCCCACTCAAATAGTCATCTGTGAAGCCTTTCTGGATTCACACAGGCTGTTATTTCTTTCCACTGTTCTTTCTTAATGCCTGTGCAAACTTTTCCGATGATACATAGGACTCTCCAAAAGTTATCTGTTTATGAGTTTATCTCCTCTACCCTTCTGTGAGTTCCTGATATGCAGGGGCTGTAACTACTGATTGTTACCTCCTGAGCCTAGACTTGTGCCTGGCCATAGTCATCTCTAAGAAATGTTGAGACAATGGAGAAATGACCTGAAACTGGATCTCGGAGGCCTTTTGATACCCCTGCAAAATGATTCAATGCTATCCTCATGGTATCCATTGTGGGGTGGGTATTCACAATGATCCACCAGTAGTCAGGGAGAAAGTATTAGAACTACTATGTATGGTTTGTCAAAAATTAACAATGAAAGTAATCTTTTCTAATATTTTCTATGAACTGACAGTAGCACACATACTTAATTTATAAATAAATACATACATTAAGAATAGGAAGTGTCTTTGAGAATTGTAGGATGTTATAAGCAAGAGGAAGCCACTGAAAGATTCTGAACAGGGGAAAAACATGAAAAAACAAGTGTTCAGGAGAATCAGTCTTATACACTAGATGGAGACAGAGTTACCAGACAACAGACAAGGCACTGAAAGGGCCATACACAAGAGATAAAAGACTAGACAAGGATAGGAGTGATAGGAATGGAGAAGAGAAGACCTACTAACGAATGACCATCATTATCATCATTAGCACCATTATGTAAGTGGAACTGAGTCACATATTGGCACAGTAAGAAGGAGAAAGAGCTGTGTGGAGACTCTAAATGCAGTCATAGAATGAGACTACGGGCTGAACTCAAAGAAGAAGATGGAATACTTTGCCTCAGGCTCAGATTCTATAAGAGAGACTTTAAAAAAAATGTTTTTCCCCACTGGTTTGAAGGGGCAACGAATAAAGGCCACTCCTCGGGCCTGTCCAATCCCAGATTGGGGCTCCTCAGTAAAGGCTATTTATAGCTCCAAATTATTGCAGCAAGGTTATGCAACTGCTGCGTGGGGCAGGCAGGACAGCTGTCCCAAGCCCTTGCAGGGTGAGTGACCATTTGACCGTCTTTTGGCTGCTTCCTGTTGGCTTAGGAGACAACAGAAGAAGGTGGATTTGTTTGCCCATTGAGCAACCTGCCATTGCCCTGCCTGTGCCCGCCTGTCTCCCTTTAAACATTAACCATCTCTTAAAACATTTGGGTTTTGTGCCCAAGGCCAGGGGGGTCCCAAGAGAAAGAGAAACAGAAGAGGGGAGGAGGAGAAAAGAAGGGACGGGGCAGGGAGGGAGAGAGGGCGTTCCCTGCATCAACAGTGTATTCATTCCACATTCTCTAAGTGCCCATGGTGACCCAGGAATAACAGGAATCTCAGGGTTCCATAGCTGAGTAGAACATGACTCCCATCCTTAGAGACCCACCATCCAGTAGAGGAGAAGGGTGTCTAGGCAGAAGACAAAGAGGAAAGGAAAAACTCAGTGCTGTTTCTTCAACTCAGCTTCTCCATTTTTTAGAGAAGGGTTAATGGAGGAAACAGAGAGAGACGAGAGACCAAAGTTTCCAGGGCCTTTGTCTTTAGAGCAAGGGTCTTAAACCTTAGAGAGCAAAAACTGACCCGGAAGACTTGTTGGAGGCATAGCTTCCAGTTCAGCAAGCCTATTTCAGCAGGTTGGAGGTGGGCCCAGGGCTCTGCATTTTCCCAGCTCTCTGGAGGATTCAGATGCAGGTAGTCCATGACCACAAGGGGATGCTGCTCTTCCAAAGCGGGGCTGGAGAATCAGAGCTGGCAACTGCCTGGGCCCAGAGCTGCCAGCCATGGGGCGGGTCCACCAGAGACTGATGAAGGAAAGAGGAAGAAGAAAGGGAAAGGAAGAGGGAAGCTCAGAGAAGATTAGGGTGAGAAATGGAAAAAGAGAAACTCCAAGGTGTGCAAAAGAGAAAAGGGATGCCTCTCTAAGAAGGCCAGCAAGTATTAGCAGAGGTGTTGTGGCCGCTCAGGCTGGCTGGCGTCCCTATGTTAGCCATGATTTTTGGTCTTTCAAACTTGAGGACTTGCCTAAGCAAGCACAGAGCAAAGAACAGAAAGCTGACTTCGCTGGATGCTTGGGCATCAATATCACGTGGAATCTCCGTTTTCTTTGATGCTTCTTGTGTTTCTTGCAGAACCCCTGACTGCAACATGTGCTGATCTCCAAGGGTGAGGCTGGATGAAGCCAAGGGCTGTGGAAAAGGAGACTGTTTCATAGAACTTGACACCATCTTTAGTAATTTCCCTGGTTCTTGGGCAGCTCCTTTTGGCTGTGTCCCTACACTGCACAACCCTCCCAGCTAGTCTACTCCAGGGCAGCATCCAGCTGGTGACCTGAGTGGGCAGCGGTGCACCAGTCTCCATGAAGGTTGAGCTCGGATGGCCAACAGCAGTTTCCACCTCATGGTCTACAACTCTTCATCCTGATTGCATGGAGATTGGTCTCTCTCTTCAGCTGGATTTAGGCTACCATCTGAGCCCTGAGGTATGTTTAGTCTGACCCTGGCACTCTTTGACTCTTCTACAGCATCAGGTGCGATGTTCCTATTTGGCTCAACCCCATTCCTAAGGTGCACTTCTCCCCTCCAGTCCTCTCCAAATGGACATTTCCTCCCTCATTCTTTTTTTTTTTAAACGATTTTATAATATAAATGTATATTAAAAATAAAGACAGGGTCTTTCTATGTAGCCCAGGCTGGTCTTGATCTCCTTGGCTCATGTAATCCTCACACCTCAGCCTCCCTAAGTGTTAGGATTACAGGCATGAGCCACCTCACCCAACTTTCTCCCTCATTCTTAAGCACTTGCTCTAGTGTTACCTTCCCTATGAATTCTTCCTTTTTTCCTGTTTGGAATCCATTTTACTTTATTTTTTTAGTTGACAAATAATAATTGTACAAATATATGGGGTATATGGTGATGTTGTGATACATAGAAGGTATAATGATCAGATGGGGGTAATTAGCATATCTGTCATCTCAAACATTATCATTTATTTGTTTTAGAAATGTTCAAGATCCTCCTTCTAGCTCTTTGAAACTATGTTACTGTTAACTATAGTCATCTTACAGTGCTATAGAACACTAGACATTCCTCCTCCTATCCAGCTGTAATTTTGTATGATTTAGCAAATCTCCCTGTTCTTTAACCCACCTTCCCTTTTCCCATTTCCCATTTGAAGTTTTTATCACGTGGTACTGGCACTCTGTTCGGGAATGTGCCACCCATACTGCAGGTTCCAGGGATCTAGTGTCATGGGGGTCACTGGGACAGAATGATTAGGAGCTTGGGCTAACCTAATTCAGAATCTCGGCATTGTCACCTGTCTGCTGTGTGACCTCAGGCCAGCTACTTCATTATCCTAAGTCTTAGTTGCCTTACTTATAAAATGGACAAACAATTGTACTTATTATTAAGATTATAACTTGGTCCAGCACCTAAAACATTGTAGCTCTCAATAAATGTTTGTTCTTCTCATTATGCATATTTATGTCCTTACTTTAATCTCTGTGGATTTAGTAGAGTAGATGCTCGATCATGTTTATGGGATTAGCAATTAAGATGTATCACCTGTATCACTGCATCTGTCCATTAGTATATATATATATATATATATATATTTTTTTTTTTTTTTTTTTGAGACGTAGTTTCGCTCTTGTTACCCAGGCTGGAGTGCAATGGCGCGATCTCGGCTCACCGCAACCTCCGCCTCCTGGGTTCAGGCAATTCTCCTGCCTCAGCCTCCTGAGTAGCTGGGATTACAGGCACACGCCACCATGCCCAGCTAATTTTTTGTAGTTTTAGTAGAGATGGGGTTTCACCATGTTGACCAGGATGGTCTTGATCTCTTGACATCGTGATCCACCTGCCTCGGCCTCCCAAAGTGCTGGGATTACAGGCGTGAGCCACCGCGCCCGGCCCATTAGTATATTTTAAGAAGGAATGGGCAATTCAATATACTCATTCATAGATCAATATTTTATGGCGTTTCCTGTATGTAAGGATTGGTTCAGGGTGGAATTATCTACCCAAGCTCGGGCAGTCCATCAATCGCTCTTGTTTTGTGTCTGTTGCTTCGGAGTACCTTTCTCACTTCTGTTCCCATCCTTATATTTGCTACCCTGTTTCTAAAGGAACAAATCAGAAAATGGTGGCTTTTTAGAAGGACCTAAAATGGAGCCTGAGTTGTCTAGAGGAAAACAGCAACAGAATTCTACCAAGTCTGTTGTAATTTGAGTTTCTCTTTTTCCCCTATCAGTTTCCACCCTGTGAAATGAGACGGGAGGAACTAAATACACTCTGTAGTCCCAGTTAATTGCAGTGGTCTGTGATCTTTTTTGTACATGGCTGCACTTTCAGGCTCAACAAGATAAAGCAACTTTAGCAAACAAACATAATTTAATGACTAGTTCTGGCTCTCTGATAAGGATACTCTCAAAAAGAAAACAGATGCAACCTCTACTGTTTGCCCGATTTGCTACTTGCCTTTGCACTTGCCTGGAATTACTAGAGGCTGTTTGCCTGGCTGAGCTGAACGTCTAGAAACCTGGTTTCTGCCCCTTTGAGTTCAGGGATTTTGAGGAAAGAGAACAAGGGTGGACTGAGCTCAGAAGGAACTAAGCTCTTCTTAAAGATTTTAGTCAAGTAACAAAAGGTTAAACATGAAGAGGAAATGATTGGTAAAATAGCCAAAAAACCAGTAGCAAATCGTGTACTACCTTTACTTCTCTTCCAGGAGAACCTGGCCATGAGTCCCTGACTTTAACATGGAGGCTGAAGGTGGGGAGGGGCTTCAGCCTGCTCCTCAGCCCTGCCCTGTCCCTGAGACAAGGAGCACCCCTGGCACCGCAGTAGGATTTCTGCTTTACCAGCGAGTGGGGCCCAGGCACAGTCCTTTGCCCCATCTCTTCCACCCTCTACTATGCCATGTGGCTTATTTTGAATCTATTCTTCCTGTCAGGCCACTGTTCCTGACATCCTCATTAAATCTATGCTCCTTTAGAAAAGCATTTTTAAAAATTACATATGCTTTGTATTAGTTCCTTTTTGCATTGCTATAAAGAAATACCCAGGACTGGGTAATTCATACAGAAAAGAGGTTTATTTTGGCTCATGGCCCTACGGACTGTGCAAGAAGCACAGTGCTAGCATCTGTTTTGGAGGAGACCTCCAGAAGCCTTTACGAATGGCAGAAGGTGAAGGGGAAGCAGATGTGTCACATGGTGAGAGTGGGTGCAAGAGAGAGAGAGGAAGGAGGTGCCAGGTTCTTTTTAACAATCAAATATCAATAACAGAGTGAGAACTCACTCATCACCAAGGGAACCACGCCATTTATGAAGGGTCCACCCCCATGGTCCAAACACCTCCTACTTGGCCCCACCTCTAACATTGGGGGGGTCACATGCCAACATAAGATTTGGAGGGGACAAACCTCCAAACCATATCATATCTCTTCCCCCAAAGAGATTCTACTTGGCAGCCACTTGCCTAGGCCTGTCCCACCACCCCCAGCCAGCCAATTCTGGCTCTGGCTCCTCCCTCCCACCACTCTTGATTGACTGCTAGCAATTGGTGGCATGCTTTCCTGTGTCTTATTGTCAAATCTGGAGACATTGCAGTAAAAGATAATGCCTAAATGAACCATCCACTCAATGAATGTTTCCTGGGCATCATCTATGAGCCATTAGGCACTACGGGAGGCCCATAGGTAGAAAGGGCCATGGGATCCAGGGGAAGGAGCAACTAGCTCTGCCCTGGGGAGCTGGGGAGGCTTTTGCAGGCAGCCAGGAACAGAGATGTGTATGTTGAGGGGTGAGAAGCAGAGGAAGCAGAGCCCAGTAAGGAAATGGAGTCTGGCTCCCAGGAGCTGGAAGGCAGTGTGCAGGTAAAATTACGGGAAATGATGTTGTGAAAGGATGCAAAGGCATTTGGACTTGACCCTGTTGGCCATGGTATAATCATCAGGTGCCTCAGCAAGGGGCTGAAAAACAACACGAGTTTTAGGTCTTCCCATTTAAATGAACCTGTTCAGTCAGCACCTTCGGGGTATTCAAGTAATTAAAAAGTGAACCTTGAGAAGGGATCCATGGGGAAAACACCCCCAGGGCAAGCAGTAGGTATGCATTCAACTAATGGAAACTGCTGTAGAAAGTGGGATCCAATTACCCCAAATCTTCAGTTTACTAGAACCAACTGACATACACCTTGCAGGTACCAAGCTTGTTTTACTGCACTCCTAGAATACAATCAACTCAGCTTCTTCCAACTCCATCATATTACTCTGTCATATATTTACATATTCACTACATTTACATATTTACTATATGAAATAGTAGTAAAGTGCTTTGTAACACACAGAGAGTGCTCTACAAATAGATTGATAATTTGTATTGTAGTTCTCCATGAGTGTGCTGAGAGGCTTTAGCCAGAATACATATTGCTCAGATACCCTCCACCGAGAAAGTTGCTCCCTTCAACTTTACTATAAAGTAGAAACATGGAAGTAAGAAGAGATGGGCACAGCCAATCACATCAGCCAACTCCAACTTGGTGACCAATACTGTGATCATTCCACATTATAGCCCCAAGGCAGTGAAGAAAAAGTGTGTTTTGTGGCTCTCTAACTTTCTGGCATTTATTGGGGAAAATATTGGAATCATTAAACTGGTTTCTTTAAAAGCAGGACTTTTGGCCAGGTGTGGTGGCTCATGCCTATAATCCTAGCATTCTAGGAGGCCTATGTGGGCAGATAACTTGAGATCAAGAGTTTGAGATCAGCCTGGCCAACGTGGTGAAACCCCATCTCTACTAAAAATAGAAAAATTAGCCAAGCATGGTGGTGGGTGCCTGTAATCCCAGCTACATGGGAGGCTGAGGCAGGAGAATCACTTGAACACAAGAGGTAGAGGTTGCACTGAGCTAAGATGGCACCACTGCACTCCAGCCTGGATGACAGAGCAAGTCTTCATCTAAATAAATAAATAAATAAATAAATAAATAAAAGCTAGACTTTGGAGGGCCTTTCATATACTGAGAATTCAATGGTCACTGAGAATTCAAAGAAAGTTACTTGAATCCAGTATTTCTCAAAGTTGATTTGACGACCAAATCTCCTATTTCCTGGCCTACACTGCCTGGAGGTCCTTCAAGATTCTCAAGAAATAGAGTTTACTTTCCATCCTATATTTCAAAAGAAAAGTGTCCATTTCTGGGGGAAGCTTCAGGTAACCTGAATTGTGGGAACTAGTCCAAGAGGCATCACCAGAAGCTGCACCCATGGAAAGCCAGCAGCTCCTCGTCTCTGAGGCTGATCCTTTCCCTGTATGTAGCCTTGGGTCTGACCTGAGAGGCCTCCTCTGAGGTTCTTAGCTAAGACCTGCCCTACTTCCCACCTGCCTCACCCCACATGACTATCTCTTTATTCCAGCCCTGACTAGTAGCCTCATCCCTAATTCCCTAGTATTCCCTTTGCTTGATATTTGTAACCCTGGCCTGGGGCTTATTGTAAAAACTCAGGGAAAAGGACCCAAGGCTACCTCGATCATATTCTCTCATTAATGTAATGCTGGCTTATGAAATATCACCATTCTATTCTACTCATTTTATTTTTGACATGGAGTCTCACTCTGTCACCTAGGCTGGAGTATAGTGGCACGATCTTGGCTCACTGTAACCTTCATCTCCTGGGTTCAAGAGATTCTCCTGTCTCAGCCTCCCGAGTAGCTGGGATTAGAGATGCCCGCCACCATACCAGGCTTACTTTGTATTTTTAATAGAGATGGAGTTTCACCATGCTGCCCAGGCTGGTCTTGAGCTCAAGTGATCCGCCTGCCTCAGCCTCCCAAAGTGCTGAGGTTATAGGCATGAGCCACCATGCCCAGCCCACTTCCTTCATATTTTTAAATTGTTGCTTGTTTCTATTGTAGGTGGGAAGCTCTTTTAGGACTCCTTTTGCTCTGTGATCTAAGTCTCATAGTAATTATTTTCTTTTTTTACGCATGCCCCCTACAGTATCATCCGGTTTTCAGTCTTCATGTTGTATCTGTCTTGTTTTCATCTCTGATGCTTTTGGTTGTCTTCATTTAAAGGCAAGGAGAAACCTTCATTTGTTTTTGTTTTCATGTTTATGATTAATAACATGCGATTCTTTTTTTACTGTGGTGTTTTCAGAATTACCTGCACAAAGTGCTCTTCACAGGTGGTTGTGGCCGGAAAGCAGCACTGAACGGGAGCGCCTTCCCCTTTGTCCTGGGGAGATCTAGGTTTTCCTTGTCTGGCCCCTTTGGGGTTTTTGTTCCTAGGCTTCTGACTCTCTTAAGACAGTCCTGAGTTCTCTTTGTAAAGCAAAAGATAGGTGATTTCTGAAATCACATGATATATTTTAAATAATTAATTCCCAAACCCTGCATTCGAATAAGAAACCATCCTCCAGCTTCAAGCTTTCCCTCCATAAGCGTTAGTTTTTATTCAAGCTAAAAATGTCCTCCTGGCTCCCCTCCCTCTACTAAAATTCTTGGTTACTTTCAAAAGCCCCATTTTACTTTGTTTGTTTGTTTTATCTTGTTTTGTTTTAAGATGGAGTCTCGCTCTGTCACCCAGGCTGGAATGCAGCGGTGCCATCTCAGCTCACTGCAACCTTGGCCTCCCCAATTCAAGCAATTCTCCTGCCTCTGCTTTCAGAGTAGCTGAGATTACAGGTGTGCACTGCCATACCAGGCTAATTTTTGTATTTTTAGTAGAGATGGGGTCTTCCCATGTTGGCCAGGCTGGTCTTGAACTCCTGACCTCAAAGGATCTGCCTGCCTTGGCCTCCCAAAGTGCTGGGATTAGAGGCATGAGCCACCACACATGGCCCATTTTACTTTAAATAATATAATTTCTTCCATTCTTCCAGGCATTCACCTGGTTCCTGGGTCTTTTGTGCTGTAGCCCTATAGTTCTAGCTACTTTTGGAAAAAATCTTTCTGGAGGCCCAATGAGCTTGTCACATCAGCCTGTCCAGAGGTAACGCACATTTCCCTGCAAACAAGTGCCTCTCCCTTGCTGTCTTTAACTTAATCAAGGCACATAGCACCCTCTCCAACGCTGAGCAAGCTCAGATCCTCCTGGTTTTCATGGTGTCTTTCTTTTTCCTTATTCCATTGGTCTAATCTGATTGAATTTAAATTTTGTACATTTTGCATCAGTCATTCTCTTGCATGAATCTCTTTCTCTTCCTCCCTTCTACTGTCACCAGCTCTTGTCCTCTTTTCTGGACTGCTAAATAACCTCTTTAGTGGTGTACCTGTGGTCTTCCCTTCCCCTCCTCTAAATCTATTCTCTACTCAGTATCAAAAAAGACTTAACCAGCAATGAATTCTTCCCACCCAACCCTTGACCCATTGTCATTCTCTGGCATCAGATCCTCACCAGCAGGGCAAAGTGCAACTGCGGCCAGCTCATGCCTTCAAGAGAAGGACTGAAGGTCATTGTGTGCCTGAACCAAGTAAGTCTAACTGCTCCTTCACTGGCTCACCCAAAACTATAGGGGCTTTCTAAGACCACATTCCCATGGCTCTGGGAGTTCCTCCAAGCTTGAACTCTGGTCTAGTTTCCCCAGTTTATATCCTATGCTTCATACCAAGATCTTCCCACTTTGCCTATCCTATAAGAAGTAGCGGCCAGGTTGAACTTTCTGATGAGTTTTGGAGGTTGCTTCTTGGCTCACCCTTGGTACCTTGGTCTACTAGTCACAGGTAAGCTCCACAAAGTCTAGGTGACTGGGACACTGCAACCCAGTCCAGGCCCAACACTATGGCCTTCTACTGGTTAGGCACAGGATCCAGATGAGACTTCTAGTGCCCATAATAAAGATGATGAGGTTTGCAAATGTGAAGTTCGCTGGCAACTTCTTATAGTTCGTAACAAATATTTATAGTTTGCACATTCATTGAGTCATCCAACAAGTATTTATAGAGACCACCAAGTACCATATACATTCTATAATGTTAGGGATATAGCAGGGAGAATGTCAGACAAGGTTTCTGCTCATCAAATCTGTATTCTACTGTTGGAGGAAAAGAGATAGCATCAGTAATTGTCAATGATCTTAAATGTCTGAAGACAATTAGCTGTATAAGATGTAAGTGACTGAGAGAGAAGGGCTATTTTAGACAAAATGCTCAAGGAATTAGCTCTGGGAATATGACAAACAAAGATCTGAATGACAAGAAGATAGTATGCCAATTTTGGTGGGCAGGGTACAGTGGGTAGA